GGGGGGGGGGGGGGGTAGGGTTATTTCGGAGTCACCGTCCCCTTCCTGCGGCCGAGTTCAGCAATTTCGACTTCCGCGGCACAAGTGACGCCGCTGAATCTGAATCGCTTCGCTTCACTTTTGCCTGTGGTGTAGACGTACCCTGGACGGCCACCCGACCGAACGCAGACCCTCACCGCAGGGGTCCTTCAAGACACAAACACAGTCTTTTCCCCGTCTTCGGTTTCTGCCATGTAGCGCTCTCTGGTTCGAAATCCGGCAGAAACAGAGTCGCCCTCTGAAAACGTCCTCCGTTCCTGGCCCTTCCTCACCTGACGCACAAAGGACGGAGGGAGAAGAGGCTGGAAAGAGACAAAGTAGAAAAGGGCAGAGTTAAGGCTGTTTGCCCTGCTTCACTGTGTATTTGGTCCTGGTCGTGTTCCAGAAGGGCTCCGTCTGGGGATAGAAACAGGATCAGGGCTGAACTTATATTGGTCTGTTGCTAAGGGTGCGTCTACACGGCGGCGCGATGTCCAGATACCTCTGAACTAGCTATCCCCCGTCTTTTTGAGCACGCCTGTTATTTGGAAATAACGATTCTTCCGTCCCTGTCGACTTCGTTCCACGAGGAGGACGGGATGTTTCGGAACGGCGCTTTCTTTGGAGATAAGCACCGTGCGGGCAGGGCCAATTGACGAACCGAGCCCTTTCGAACTCCACTGGAAAGAAGCGCCACAATTTGTGCCGCCTCTTTCGAGCGCCGGGTGCGAGTGTGGACGCCCTGTGATACTAAATCGTACTAAAGGCCGCCAGAAGGGACCTCGAGAGTCATCGAGTCCAGCCCCCTGCCTGCCTGGCAGGACCAAATACTGTCTAGACCATCCCTGAGAGACATTTATCCAATTATCCACTATGACCCCTAGATCCCTTTCTGCCGGACTCCTTCCCAGACAGTCGCTTCCCCTTCTGTGTGTGTGAAACTGATTGTTCCTTCCTAAGTGGAGCACTTTGCATTTGTCTTTATTAAACCGCATCCTGCTTCCCTCCGCCCATTTCTCCAGTTTGTCCAGATCAGTTTGAATTCTGACCCTGACTCCAAAGCAATAGCAACCCCTCCCAGCTTGGGATCATCTGCAAACCTAATAAGCGTCTTTTCTATGCCGATATCTAAATCGTTGCTGAAGATACTGATCAGAGCCGGTCCCAAAACAGACCCCTGCGCAACCCCATTGTTACACCTTTACACCCAACCACGTCACAGCCCGCCTGGCGACGCTGATGTTGTTTAAACAAACGTGTGGCGACAGTAGAAAAAACCATTTGCGTGTCTGAAAACGGTAGGGACTGGGGTACTTACCATTTTTTTTTGAAAAAGGGGTACTTTATAGAAACAGTGCTCTAGATTATCCCTGGCAGGTGTCTGTCCAACCTGCTCTTCAATATCTCCAGCGATGGAGACGTCACAACCTCCCTGGGCAATTTATTCCAGTGTTTCACCACCCGGACAGGCTGGAAGTTTTCCCTTGTGTCCAACCTCAACCTCCCTTGCTGCAGTTTAAGCCCATTGCTTCTCGTTCTATCCCCAGAGGCCAGAGAACAAGTTTTCTCCCTTCTCCTTGTGACACCCTTTTAGATACCTGAAAACAGCTCTCAAGTCCCCCCTCAGTCTTCTCCTTCCCAAACTAAACCAACCCAATTCTTCCAGCCTCCCCTCCTAGCTCCTGTTCTCTAGACCTTGCATCGTTCTTGTTGCTCTTCTCTGGACCCTCTCCGGTGTCCCGCCTGCCCCGCTTAGGGACTTGCTGTCTCGCCGTTCTGTGCCCGGAGAGCTTTGCCTTTCTCTGCACCATCCCCAGGGGCTGAAAATCAAACAGGCTTCCCCCAGCCCCAGCCAATGAGC